AATTGCTCAATGGGAAGGAAAAACTGGGATGAGGAAAAGGACAAATGAAAGAAGGGAAAAAGATATTTAGGTATATACACAGAGTAGTTTGGATAATTTACTGTTGATTTAAAAGATACATTTGTTGTTATATAGGTCTTGCTTTATCTTGGTCTTAACCATGCAGCAGAGAAGTATAAAAATGAGGTATATAAAGTAAAGCCATATTAATACTGAGCTGTGAAAGGCTCAAGTCAATAACTTCTCAGGATAACCCACTACTAATGTAGATTGCTGGACAGTGTTGGATTGTTTTGCTGAACTTAAGCACCTGTAGTATTTAGATGCCAATAGAATACCCACCTCTGACAGGACTAAACAAAGGAAAGGGGATACAAAGGAAAGAACATTTTGTATTTTTATATACGAAATAGGATAGATATACAGCTACTTTCGCTTAATTCAATGAGAAGAAAGATGTGTACTAATAGTGTTCAGACAGGATATCCTGTCTGCTTCTTGTACTATGGATAACCACTAAGAAGATAACAATGTACAATGTATTGATTATTGAAACTGTCCTATTCATCAGCATTGAAACTGTCTCATTCATATTTGTTTCTCAATAAAATAAAAAAAACTCTCAAAAAAAAAAAAAAAGCTTATAGCTAGTGAGAGGCAGGTTTGGCAGTAAATGATGAGCAGTGTTGCCCCAGAGCAGGTGTAATGGCTTCTATTTTCATGGTCGACTCAGAAGTCTGTGTATGCTTCACAGGAGGCACTACTTTATTTATATTGTAACAGAAAATGCACTCCCCGCCTACACCCAGAAAGGGTACTTCAGTTTGTTAGCTGCTCAGGTAATCATTTCTGTTCCAGTTCTGGTTGTTTCTGGTTTCTTAGAAACAGCTGGTCACTGTGAGGCATAGCTGGTTACTATGATGCACATAATATAAACCAGTCCCCAACTGGCAAGCCATTATGCCTCTTTACTTCCTGCTCTCCTGTCCCATATAAGCCCTAGACCACCAGAGATTAGGAGCTGATATGTGCAAATGGTCCTGATCAGGGTCTACGGATTATCAGCCTCCAAATCCTGGTGCCGTTTCTGTGTTTCTGTTTGCCATAGCATCTGGTGCACTGGCAAGAAAGACCAACTGTGCTGACTTGGTCATCAGTTGTGACCCTTGTGGGTGGATCAAGGACCTCTCCAGGTCCTGATGGGAAGGTGCACCCTTGAGACTTCTTGGGTCCTCTCAGAGGTCTGGAGGAGGACTCCTGTTTCCCTGTTCAAGTGGCTCACTTGAGCCCCAAAGGGAGGCGGATACAATCTACCTGTCTGTCTGCCTGATTCCATTAAGACTCCCAGGGCACCCCAGTTAATCTGTCAGTTCTTCTCAGCTTGAGCAGAAGAAGAGTTTAATCAACTCTTGCTGGTTAAGGCTTCCCTCAAGAAAAGGGGGTTGGAATGTTTTAACCTCTGCCTGCAGAGTGAACATGTGAGTGTGTGAAACAGACGGCATCAGCAATTGGTCTCTGTACACCAAGACTGGAAAGCACTGGTCACAGTGGCTGACTGGGCCCTCACCTTTGGTTCTGTCACGGTCCGTGTATTACCATACACTGGAGGCCTCACACCCTCTCAGCTAAGTCACACCTAAGTCCTCACAAGCGATGCAGCCAGTTGGGCCTCTGAATGATCTCTCTCAGAGGGGCTTCCACCCTTTGTCTGTTGCACCATCATTCAAGGGTACAGAACACACGTGTAGGAAGTGAGAGATGAGAATTATTTAGTCAAAACCCACACTCCCTGACTGAAGAAAAAGGGCTTTTATTGAGTTAAAAATGAAACCAAAATGTTCCCTGTGTCTCAAAGAAAAAAACAAAAAGGAAAAAGAAAAGGCACATTCTTCCTAAGAATCCTGCCTTGGCACCTCACCAGCCACCAAAGTCGCTGCCAAAAGGTTCACCATCCTCCACTCAGAACTCATCTGCTTCCAGCCATTTGAACTGGTTCTAGCTCGCCTCCTGCCTCACTCAGCCACACAGCCTCTCTGCCCCAACACACCTATACTAGTCAGATGGTGTCATCTAACAGCACCTGAGAGGACTGTCAACTGTTCCTTCTCAGTTCCATATTTTGACTGAGGAGAAATCAGACTGTCAGCCCTCACAAATGAGTTGCACCTTATAGGTCCTCAATAGTAAGGACAGACAGAGCTCTATCAAAGTAGTGGAAACTCTCCCGTTAGTTTTAGGGTTTTTTAAAAAAATTTTATTTTAGGGAAGGGTCTACAGGGTGTTCAGGTTCTCACTACTAGATCGGATGCATAGTGATCTGCCTGTTTACAGCCTCCCAAGAGCTGGGATTACAGGCTTGTGCCACCATGCTCAGTCTCAATTGCTCTTTTAGCATGCCCGGGCAGCGTGACCAGCATGACAGGCCCAGAATTGAACACCCAGCCCTTGTGCCTGCTTGCAGGTGCTTTAATCTGCTGAACTATTTGGCTGGCCCACCCAATAGTTTTAGGAAAGCCCTAGCAACAGATTTGGCTCCAGGACAGCCAAATCTCTGTCTCTTCCAACTCCCCAAAAAGGAAAAAAATAAGGCTTCAAAACTGCAAAGTGTTTATAAGCTGTCAAGCGGCTGAGATACACCCCTCCTACCTGTAAGGCCTGTCCAAGCTCTCCAAGCTGCCCAGGCCACCACGATTGCCCTCCATATACATGCCTCAGTCTTCTGCCACCCACCGCCTGCTGGTAGACCAGCCTGAACCTAAAGAATGCCTCCTACTGTCAGCCAGCCCCTCTTTGCAAAGACCCCATTTCTGGACTCAAAAGCTAACTGATCTGCACTCAACCTTCCAGAGGTTAAAAAATTTGTTTACCCTTTTGAAAATCACTCACTGTACTTCTGATTAATGACACCTGAGCTGCCTGCTGGAAAGGCACAAAAGCTCTGTTACAGTATCTGGCAGAAACTGGTTACAATAAAAAAAACTTCACAGATTTCTTGGGACTGCTGGCTTCTATAGAATCTGGATCCTTGAGTTCATAAAATGATGTCAGACTGTCAGCCCCTGGGAGCTCCCAGTGGCTACCTGTGAAAATACTTGGATCCAGTCGCTGAAGGCTGCCTCTCTGCTTTGCCTCCGCACTCCAGCAGCCACTGCCCTTCTGATCGAGAAAGCTGACGAACTCAGCTTAGACCAAGACCTAACTGTGCAGGTGCCACACACTGTACTGGGATGAACTGTTCTAAAACATGGGCCCCCTGACAAGTGCTGAGTACACCCTGCTGTAAGAAAGCAGCCTTAGAGATGGCCTACCCTTGATCATTGGCAGCAACAACGGGCCTGTGTTGTAGCAGAGATAATTATAAAACTAGATTAAAATAAAAACTACATACAGCGTGTAACCTGTTAAAAGACCAGCTATATCTGTCGATATTCTTGCACACACATATAACCCAGGTACATATTAACTACCTCTACAAGTATCAGAAATCCAGCCTTAGATCTGCTGGAAAAATTTACCTGGACAGCTCCTCCAAGGCTCCCCCAGAAGCCTTGCTCTGGTTACTCTGGATGCTGACCAGTCCGTGCACAGCTGGAGGCCTGAGGACATTGTTCCAAGGATTGCCTCATATCTATTCCCCTGGATTTTTGTGTCTCTTGAGGATGCTTATCCCCAGTCCTTGCCTCCCTGCCCTGCCCTGCCCGGCTAGCTGTGGTTTTTGTTAACTGACCTGGATTCTGCTTACCCAAGTCCTTGCTTCCCTGACCCCTCGTTATCTGTGTTTTTTTGGCCTTGAACTCTATGGACAGTTGCCCCAAGAGAATAAAACAATCAATCAAACACTTGACCAAGATCTGATGAGTGCCCAAGACATATTGAATGTTATCCTAGATTGGACTAACTCCCTCACTCCTTTGCCAGAGTAGTGTTATAGAGTAGACAGGTCTAAATTATGTCTCCTCATAAAAACAGCTTAGAGAAAAACTACATGATACAATAATCTTGGGAAGCTTGGTTAGGGCCTGGGATCACTGACTGCTTTTAGTTGGGCTTTCTCTCAGAAGATCACATGCAATAGACTCAACCAAGATTTTCCAGGGAAACTAGAAGATGGGTAAATGCAGGAGAAAATGCCCCCCTCGTCCCCAGTATGCTTTAGTTTATTAAATGTCCAGGTAACAGTTCCTATTCTTGTTCTGGTTGTTTCTGGTCTCTTAGAAACAGCTGGTCACTGTGAGGCATAGCTGGTCCCTAGGATATACATAGTATAGACCAATCCCCAACTGACAAGCCATTCTGCCTCTGTACTTCCTGCTTGCCTATCCCATATAAGCCCTAGACCACCAGCGATCAGGGCTTGGTGTTCTGGGAATGACTCCAATCAGTGCCCATCAATGTAAGTAAATCTGCCTCCAAATCCTGGGTGTCATTTCAGTGTTTTTGTTTGCTGTAGCAATATTGCTGTGATCTGATATTTTCAGAGGAATGGGCCATAAATCCAGGTATTAAAGGCCCGATAAAGAAAAGACGACATCTCAGATGTAGATGACCTTCTAGAAGACAGATTAACAGATCCTCAGGGAAGGACTTTCTTTCTTTTTTAAATGTATTTAGTACAGTGTCTCCAGGGTCTCACTACATAGATCAGACTTGTAGTGATTCTCCTGTTTTCAGCCATCCAAGCACTGGGATTACAGGCATGTGTCACCACACCCAGTCTCAATCACTGTCTCAGCATGCTTCCAATGTGGGGCCAGCATGCCAGGCAGGGCATCGAACTCCAGCCACTGTGCTCTGCCTAAGCAGACGCTTTAGTCTGCTGAGCTATCTGGCTGGCCCAGGATGGGTTTTATGTGTGTTAGGATGAATGTATTTAATTCTTTCTCTTTGCTAGCTCCATAAGTACTCTTGAATGACAATGGAAAAACTTCCTATGGTTCCTGTCCAAGGGAGCAGGAATAGTCAAGTGAGCGGAGGTAGGCAGCAGCTGCCTAGTTCCTTACGTGGCTGCTGTCCATCAGGGCTTCCTCCACACAAAGCTGGTTCTCCTGCAAAGTCTTCCCTTGCCTTTTACAGACATCATGCAGATCCTTGATGTCAAGTTGTAGGCTCAGGAGCTTACTGTTCAGGCTGCTCACTTCTCTCTCTCTCTCCCCCGCCTAAGCAGCCAGAGAAACAAAAGCATCAATTACAAACTCTCATGAAAATGCTTACTTTCCTCCACTTAACAGGTTGACAGGGACTTTAAATTCACGGAAATTTGTCCATCAAGTCATTGCTATTATTACTCATCCTGTGTAACATTTACACAGTATCCATTTGTGAGGTGTCTGAGTGCTCTACATTATTCAGACAATTACTTATTTATATTAATTAATCTTCACCACACTGCTGTGGGTGCATCAGACAATTCCTTTATTTTTCAAGCGGAAGCCAGTGTCTAGAATAATTCCAGGCATCCAGTGAACTGTCTATAAATATTAATGGTTCTGCCACTGATGAAATGAACATATTGAGGTGTCAAATGAACTTGTCAAGACTGTAGTGAATGAATCAGTGATGGAGCTGATGTGGGATTCTGAGGTCTTTTTCTTTTTACTCATTAACCCAAATCTTCCTCACTTATAATACTTAGTGCTTTCCTTTGCAGGGGTTCACCAGGGGGAATACAAGTGAAATCCCTGTGCTAAGCGGGCAAGGTCCCTGTCTTTGATTTCAAGCAAAAAGGATTAGCTAACTGTTGCTAGGTCAGGATAGAAAGTAGTAGCTGAGACCAAAATAGACTACAGAGTGTAGCAGCTTGGGTGGGGAGGTGGCGGGATGCAGAGGTCTGAAGACGTGAGTTCCTCATCACATTACAAGGCCACTTTCACTCTCAACGTTGTGGGTGGCAAGTGTGAAAGGAATTAGGGAGAAGCCTCTGTGAATGCATGCAGCGCTTCAGCCCTATCACTGTGCTGGCTTTTCACTTACACTGAGTACAGGGATTACCACCTTTGAGCTTCAGACCCTGAGGTCAAAGCATATAGGGCAGGTGCCCATCTCTGGTCAAAATGCCTGGAAGTGACTTATGTGAAGGTTTATGATATCTATTAAAGAAACACTCCTATGAGAAACCAAGAAGGAAGAAGGGGAAGCAGGGCAGGGAAGGAGAAGAAACCAAGCAATTTCAGACAAAGTCCTCTGGGTCACTTTGGGCTGATCCTGCAGGGAACTCCAGAGTATAATTTACACTGTAGAGCCTGTCTTGAGGGATGACACTGAAAGCTGAGTTGTCAAATTTGGTACCAGTCAGTTAACAGTGGAGGGCTGCCCCATGGGATGCAATCTCCCAAGGATGGCTAACTCTGCTCCTATGGGCAGAGTGAGCATGATCATCTCAGGGCAGCTCTTCCTAGAGGGAAGACAGGTAGCTACCACCTACCACCACATCTCACAGACAGGTCTGGATTTTGAAATACATGAGCTACAGAGTACACATTCCAGAAGAACTAGAGGCCCGATATGGACAGTATAAATTAAGCCTTATTCCATAGATCAGTTTAAGACACCTCTACACAGGGCCAAGGAGGGCATAGGACAATGTGAAAATCAGACACTGCAATGTCAGAGTGTCCGGAATTCAGGAGGTTTCCCAGAAGTACTGCTGTCTCAGCTGATTTATTTCTTCATTTCCATTTAGTACCTGAGGTTTTTTAATTTTTTTTTTTTTTACCACTTTACAGTTTAATTAGGTTAACGGCATGGCTGTATCATTAAAAGGATTTCATTATCTCAAAACTCTCCCTCCTCCTCTCTTGCTTCTGCCCTCGTCCCTCACTTTCAGAAAAATAACAGTGGATGTCAACTGCCCCAAGCATGTAATTACCATTAAGACAATTACCAGGAACTCTCTTAAGAGAATCCGTGTAGAGTGGTTTTAAAAAGTGATGTGAAAACAATGTTTTCTAACTTGAAAACAAAATCCTTGACTCCATAAGGAATAACAGTTTGATTCTAGTGCTTCTAATCCCTTTACTCATTGCTGCCACTTAGGAAGAGGGCCTGGAGCCTTCCTGGGAATGGAGCTGTAGGGATTCCCCCTCTATTCTTGCCACAGAACCATTTATCATTGGGATCTATGAGCAAATTAGGTGATGACACCATGCTAACCCCACAGGACAGCCTAATTCTCTGTACTCTTGCCTTGATGCTGAAAATATGTGTCACCAGACACATCACCAGGCTTCTCCATGCGGAGCTCAGCACACTGAGGACTCACTAACAAAATGCCAGTGATACATGACGCTAGTCTAAGTGAACAGCTGTTCTCTCTCAGGCTAATAAAAACATCCCTCTCTATGGTTTTAGATGTCCTTGGAGTAGAAGACCTACTAGCCCTATTCTTTTATACCACTAGGGCTTCAGAATTGGCTCTTTGATGTGGATGATCTCATCTAATTTGGGTATTTAGCATTGGCTCAGAGTCTCCAAGGAAATTTCTTCATTCATAAAGCTAGGGGTTGGGGATAGATTATCTTTCTTTGAAGAGTCCCTAAACCAGTTGAATAACAAATGTGTTTTATTGGCTAGCAAATGAAATTTACTTTTAAAATAAAAACTTAACCATTCATTCCTAAAGACCAAATCATAAAGGGGTTTTGATGCACTAGAACAAGAGTAAAAATGCTTGAAGTACAATAAAGTGATTTTCATGAACCATGTTCCACTTTTAGCTGTAGATAGTTTTAAGAGGATGCTAGGCTCACTTCAGAACCCCAGAAAGGCAAGGTTTTCTGAGGGTTAAGCAAATCTAATTTCTTGCTAATATCTTGCATAAATATTAATCATAAGCTATTTATATTTCTACATAGTTTATGGATATTAAATTCCAGGCAGAGGCCTTTTGAATATCAATATGCAGTAGCAATAGATTTAATCTAACATTTCATCACTCATATCTCTGTATCAGTCCTGGGGCATGACGTGGACTCAGGGTCATAATGATGACCTTCAGTCAATATCTGATCCCATCCTAGATCTGAAATCATTCGTGATGGTTGAAATAGCAAGCCAGGTACTAAGATACCCAGGTTTTGCTTATCCAGGCTGGAATCTGGTCACTCTGCTTAGAAGCATGTGACATCAGCCATGCCACTAACCCACAGGCAAAATGGTGAGTGCTAATTGTGGAGTTGCTAATATACTCATGGTATTGGAAAATGGGTCACTTCCTGAGGCAAATTTTCTGCATTATTAAGTGGGTCTCTTATCAAAGAGCATGCCTTCTCAAACATATTTCTCAAAAAGGGGAGAAATTTTGCTGTAGGTTAAAAGTATCAACAGGTAGTTTCATGTTTCTTTTCTGGGGGAGGGAGCTGAGATTAAATTTAAACCTGTGATTCAGTAGCACTTTCAGAGGTCAAGAGCATCACAGATTCAAAATGGTAACATTCCCAGAGACTTGGTACTTGAGCCAAAAGCTGGGTGAAAACTGGGTGGCAATTTCCAGGGGAAGTTTGGAATCAGAATCACTGTTAAAGTCATCATCTTTGGGAAATTACTTATCTGAGGATGAGAACAAATCTCCAACAAATGATGCATGACACTTCTAAACATCATGAATACCAGCACCACTCAATAGATTATCAATTTACGGTGAGAGTCATGCTTTAAAAAGCAAGGAGCCTTTTTTTTTTCCTTTTTTTGGCAGAACCGGAGATTGAACTCCGGCCCTTTTGCTTGCCAGGCAAGCACTTAATCTACTGGGCTATCTCCCCAGCACCTTGGGAGCCTTTAAAACTACTGTTGCTTCAGGAATTTTTACTTTTTACTTATGTAATAATAGAGTTTACAGTTACCTGTAGTAACTTTAAACACTAATATTGATATTACAACCAGATTCCTAAATTTGCTTTTCTGCTTATGGAAATGTTGTGTTTTTGCATTACCTATGATGAAAATTAATGGATAGTCATACAGAATTTTGTAATAAAAAATTTTGGATGAATTACTTTCATATAGCGAAAAATAAGAATATATTATTTTATTTATTTATGTATTTATTTATTGGGTGCACCATCTGGCTACGCAGCTCAGACTCATAGTGATCCTCCTGTCTCAGCCTCTCCAGTGCTGGGTTTATGGGCATGCACCCCCATGCCTGGTTTTGGTGGACAGCTTGGCATGGGGCTGGCACAGCATATGGTGTTGGGGATTGAACCTGGTCCTTGTGCTTGTCAGGCAGTTGCTTAGACTGCCGAACTATCTCCCTGGTCCCGAAATAAGAATATATTATCTTCTAAATTTTTTTTTTTTTTTTTGGTGGAACCAGGGATTGAACTCAGGCCCTTGTGCTTGCCAGGGAAGTGCTTATTCCACTGAGCCATCTCCCCGGCCCCTATCCTCTAAATTTTTAAGCACTGGCACACTGTATGTGGTTTAGGGTACACGTGGTGTATACCAGATATCAGCCATCTATGGAACACAGGCTGGTTTTGGTTAGCACTTGGGCAACTACTGCATACTTTTTGCTGTCATATTTCTGGAGAAATTATTTCACTAGAAGGTAAGCCCCAAGAGACTGGGGATTTTTGTCTATTTGTATATCCTTTTAGCCTGATTGATGTTCTCAGCTCCTAGAGCAATCAATGTCTAACATGTCAAAGGTTTTCCAAAGATATCAGTAACACAAGGAAATGGTCTAGTAGAAAATTCACTCCTGACTCTTGTTTACTGCTACCCCCAGGGCTCCAGTTACTCAGCTGAAAGGGGCAGAAATTCCTGTTTTAGAAGCTACTCACCTCTTGGTAGGAGGTGCGTAAAAAACCACATGTCAGGTGGGATACCTCTATCCTAATCCAAACAAGGTACTTCAATTCTTTCTAGAACAAGTCAGGATATACATATACCAAAATCAGAACACTTCAATTTCATTTTACAGCATTCTAGGCAAGAAGAATGTTGTTGGCAACAATGGTAAATATTTATTAGGCTCTTTTTACATGCAGTGCCTTATAATTCTCCTAACTAGTCTTTGAAATCGATGCTCACCATTCATATTTTTGGGAAAGATAAAGTATAGAAAGAGTAAACAACATGCCCAATATGATTCTGCTATTGGATATCCAGACCCACCTATCTGGATCTGGACTTTTAAACACATTATGCTCTGCTGCCCTGGAGTATTTTGTGATGCTTCTACCTGGAATTCTGAGTCCTGAAACTTGAGAAGTCCCTTGTGACAAAGATTCAAATCAAGGAATGGAGACAAGTTAGGAGCCTTACCTCACCTTTCAGTCCCTTGGCAGCTCTCAATTCTCCTTTAAGCTTTAGCATTTTGTGAGCTTTGGTATAAACCTGAAAAAGGTCAAGTGTTTAAGATGGAAAAAGTATAAATGAGTCTAGTCCTTTAAAGAGTTTCCCAGCTGGACCTATGCCCTTGGTGGGAGGTTTGAAAATTTTTCCAAACTGATAGCAATACTAAACCTTCTATCCATATGTTTGTTTTCAAGGTACATTAAGGCTTTTACAAGGGAGGCAGGACCATAGTTTTTACATATTTTCCAGAAAACCAGTTTGGTAGACCAAATAGTTTCTAAATTCAACCTTTTTGGAAAGTGAAAGGTCTGAGGTGCATTGATATTCTAGATTTCTCAATATTTTATGGTTCAGACAATTCACAGTTAACATTTTTCACTTACTATCAACCATCCAGGATGTGCATGGCTCACCTTCATTCTCACAATAACTCTCGGAGGCATGTACTGTTATTGTCCTTGTTTCACACAGAGAGAAACAGTCCCAAGGAGGCTGAGTGACTTATCCAAAGTTACCTAGGCACCTCTTACATTTTACAATGATTACTTTGAAATATCAAATGATATGATGTTTTTGAAGAACCAACTTGCCATAACATTAGTGCTTATAAAGTTAAGAAACCTTAAGAGGAATGAGAATTGTCTAGATAGAGAGCTTTCAAGAAAACCAAAGATTTTTGCACATGTATAAATATATAAGTACTGGATGATGCACTTGAGGTCATAATTTATTGGACTTATTAAAATAATCTAATTCATTATGTTTGTAACTCTAAGTCTAGAGGAAATTTCTATCAGGCACCTACCTGTAGAATATTTCCAAGAATGAGAAGTTACCAAAATACTCATTCTTTATAATGAAGTAAATCCCTTATTCTTAATATAAGCCAAGAGGAAGAAAGAATCCTAGAGATACATGGAATTTGGAATGTTTTATGGAGCTGTTTTCTGATATTCTTTACTGAGTATACTCTTAAGTCTTTGTGCACAGAGGTGCATCACAGGAATGATATGAAGTTCAGACTTACCGGGTAGGGATAGGCTAGGTGATGTTGCAGTAACAAACAACCTCAAAATCCCTTAAGGCTATAAAGGTTTATTTTTACTCATGCTGTGTATCCTTTATGAGTCATCTGAGGCTTTGCCCTACATTGTCCTCAGCTGGTGGAACCTCTATTATCTAGTATGTTGCCTGTTGCCATGGCAGCTGAATAAGATCTTAGTGAATTACATCACACTCGTTCTTAAAGTGGAAGTGAAACACTTCCTGTCTCAGTTTACTAGTCAAAGCAAAATAAGGTGGCCACACTTAACTTCTTTTACCTTCCAAACAATATATTGGTGAACATCACAAATGATTTCCACACTAGGCTAATGAGAAGACTAAAAATAAATGTGGCATAAAGAACACTAAGCAAGGCTCTAGGCTACCAAAGCCCTGGTTCAGTAGCTAATTTGAAGTGTGTCCTTTGAGAAAGGCCCTCATTTGCTTGAACCTTTATACCTATCTCTGGAAATTGTACTAAGTGATCTCTAAGGTCTTTCCTAGCTCTAAAGTTTACTGATTCTATGTTCTACCAGATGGACACCATTCTTTAGTAGGAAGAAATCTGAGCTATAAAAATCTGAGCCACTCACAAAACTTGGAACAAATGTATCCTTGAGGAGAATAATTCTCTACATACAGACTCATAGGCTATCCATCAGGCAATCTTAAAATAAAAGCTTATCTAAAATTAAAATAAGGATTTTCTAGATTGTAATGGTTTCATGCTCTTTGGAGTTACATAGCAATCACTATAAGGGCCAAGAGCATTTCAAATGGAAAGTAGAAGGCACAGGTTCTAATATTTGCATGAAAATGTATTGGGCTTTACTAAGTAAAATAAATTAGAGGAAAAGTAAAGAGCTGAATCTTGCTCCATGAGGGACATCTAGGAATTCTGTGAGTCATTAATAATAGCAGTGGGTACTTTGGAAGTGCTTATGGTGAAAAAAAAATACAATAAACTTTTGATGCATTTGACAGTAATGTTTCCCAGATGGGTTGGAGACAGCTTTGAGGGAGCCTTTATGCTTTATGAAGTGATCATGTGGACCCTCCCCGTGCTTTCCCAGGAGCATAGCTGGTTACTGATTCTCTGGGCCCAGGATTTTGTTAATGTCATCTCATCGCAAACTCTTGCTCCTGCATCTTCTGTCTCCTGAATTTCTGCCGGGACCTTCACTTCTTCATGCCTCATCTGCTACATTAGCTAGGGAATTGCTTTCGTGTTTTCAACAGTCTTGCTATCTGCTTTTCAAAGCAGGCCTTCTTTTGGTGACATTTGTGTCTAGAAAAAAATGATCCTGAAGAAAAACTTGTTCAAATGAGTAGTCATGTTTTGTCTCCTCTCAGTTCACTCTCAGAGCACCTTAAGCATATCCAAGGAACACCCAACACTACCTCTCATGTGGGTGACTAATGGAGCAGCCCTGTACTGAGGTGTGAAAAGAAGGTAAATGTTTTTGTATCACTTAGATTTTCTTATTGAGCCTCATTTCCACCATGGGGTGGAAATCACACTTGTAGTTATTGGTAAGAAAGTGCCATCATTTCAGGCTAAACATAAATCAGTTTATGATTTCCTCGAGTTCTTTAAGACCCCTCTAAAGTACACATAAATTCTGGGGCCCTAGGTTGGATCCTGGCATCAGGGGCATATTCTGGTTTATAGTCATGGGCATCTCTCCTGGCTGTATATGCTGAGATGCCTTTGTCATTGCAAATAGGCCACATAGGCTGCCCCTTTCTCATCCTGAGGGCTTTGGTCTGGCTGGTCCTCTTTCAGTTTTGGAAGTTTTCCCTCCATGTCCTTGATGGTAGTATATGTATAAGAGGTCTATTCTTCTCATATGTGTCCTACTGAAATTCTGTCTATTGCCTTGCAAGATGGATAGGATGCTGGAATTTTACTCCATGTCTTAGCATGGATCAAAGTTCTTTGGCCTCTGGAAAGTTAAATCTCTGCAGTGATCTACTATTTTCCTTCACTTTTGGCCCATCTTATATATTTCGCCAGGGTCTAATTCTCCAGTTTAAGTTTAAATTTCTCTATTTTTTTTTCTGGTTTCAGATGACCATTGTTTAATTTAAAAAAATGATTTTATTGAGAAACAAATAGAAATGAGACAGTTTCAAAACCGATTAGTAGGACAATTTCAATAATTAATACATTGCATAGCATTGTCGTCCTAGTGGTTATTCATAGTACAAGATGCAGACATGATATCCTGTCCACAAACACTATTAGTACAAATCTTTCTATTCATTGAATTGAGAGAAAGTAGCTGTATATCTATCCTAACTATTTTTAATATACAGATACAAAATAGTCCTTCATTTGTATCCCCCCTTTTTTGTTTAGTTTTGTCAGAGATGGGTATTCCATTGTCATTTAAATATTGTAGGTGTGTGAATTCAGCAAAATATTCCAATATAGTCCAGCATTCCACAATAGTAGTGGGTTATCTGTAGGACTGGCAATGCCAGAAGTTGTTGACTTGAGCCTTTTACAGCTCAGTATATTGATATGGCTTTCCTTTTTATACTTTTCCACTGAATGATTAAGACCAAGATAAATCAAGACCTATATAACAAGAAATATAACTTTTGTATCTGACAAGATCAGTCAAATCCCCTCAGGATTTATCCTGAAACCCTGTACCGCAGTTTGTAGATCTTTTGTCAGTGTCAGCCAAGTGGATGAGTCATAGCCATTGCTTGACCAATTTGCTCTCTGTAAAAGCGTGAGAGAATATTTTCTCTCCATATGAGTCTCTTTAGGCACATTCTACATCATTGATCACTTTCCTCTGTGGCTGCTTGATCAGAAAATTTGGGACACAACTGAGTTATAGGATGTTACAGTGCCATTGTTTAATTTTGAGAGAGGAAGGAAAAAGGATAGCAGCAATTTCCATGAAACACAGATCAATGGGTCAGCATGGGAAATACATAATACTTCATTCACTAGCCACATCAGGGTTGTCATGGTTTGGGGTTTTTTCAAAGTGAACAATATAGTACAGGACACATTTGATAGTGAATCACCCAAGAATCACATACTACAAGGGCAGGAAATCTATCCATACACTAAATACTAAAGAATCCAGATGAGGGCCTAGACCCTGATATGCTGCATAAGTCCAGTTGGAAACCTAGAGCTTATAACAATGCCTCCCACAAGTCCAACTGGAGTCCTATAGGCCAAACAAAGTCTCATGCAGGTCCACTTCATGGATATGTGCTGGAAAGGCCCAAAGGTCAGTGGTGGAAGCTAGGAAGTCTATGCCAGTGGGATGAAGGATCTGTGTTAGCAAGCTGAGGGATCTGAACTGGAGCTAGGAAACAATGCTCAAATTTAGCATGAGAGCTCCCCCAAAAGTACCATAGCCATCCTCAGCAACAGTGAGGTCCTGCACTCCTCCAGTGATGAGGAAACCAGAGTTCTCATCAAAAAAGCCAATGAGACAAGCTTCATGAGGCTGAGCAGTGCACCACCTTCCCCTCCAGAGCCAGGAATCAATGCTCAGGATGAGGACCCAAGCTTCTTCAAAGTCTATTGGGAAAGCCAACATGACAAGGTCTTCCAGCAGGACAGCCCAAGGGAACCAGCAGCTTCCAACAGCTCCAACAGCTTCTCCAAAAGCATCTCTAACAGCATTTTTTGGGCAGCTTCTCCTATTCCACCTTTTATGCTGCTGGCAACAATTCTTAGGTGGGCCTTCCACACCCAGCATCATGCTAGTTCAATTCAGCTGGGTGTAAGAAGCTGACCGCCAGTTATCTATCCACCACAAGGCTATACAAATGCCATACTCATCGATTTGTGGACAGGTTGCTACCGGAGTGTATGATTAACTATTGGTCTTTGGGCAACATTATCTAGTCCTTTTCCTTCTTAACTTGCTTAGAAGAGTTCTAGAGATCACCTACATCACTTAAAACATGTTTCTGGATTTTAAGGGAAAGAGATTCTGTTTAATTTAAAGAGTGCTCATTGGAGGTTAATTGAAACTAATTTAGATTTACCTACACTTAGCCACAAGTCTGTACCTATACTGGGTTTTAGATTTTTCTCTAGTGGCTTACTGCCTATCAATATAAATGTGATAAGTCCTAGAGTTCTTAATTATTGAAATTATGAGGGGGCCAGAAAGATAGCTCAGTAGAATAAGTGCTTGCCTGGCAAGCGCAAGGGCCTAAATTCAATCCCTGGTTCCGCAAAAAGAAAAAAAAAAGAAAAGAAAAAAAAAAGAAATGATGAAAGAATATTCAACATTTCCTCTATTTTAACAATATGTGAGCACCAGTAATGGACCAAGATACTCCTTTTATAATAATTTTTTTTCCATCAAGAAATACTCCTTTTATAATAATTTTTTTCCATTGAGAATATTTGGTGTGTGTAGTTTTTTTTTTTTGTTTTGTTTTTTTTGTTTTTTGGCAGAACCGGGGATTGAACTCAGATCCTTGTGCTTAGCAGGGAAGCACTTATTTTACTGAGCCATCTCCCCGCCCCTTCCATTGAGAATATTTGGATGGATCCATTATGTGTAGAGCTTGGTAGGTAGAGTCTACCTCTTTTAGATGTAGTTCTAAAGGAGAAAACTTGTAGTGCATGTCTATTGGAGGAAGTGGTTGGAAGAAGTAGTAGGAAGAGATGATACTGAATTTGCTAGATTTGTGTCCTACAAAGTAACTTTGGGAATAGGAATCTGATACAAGATTAAGACTGGGTTATAGTCCTATTTTAGGGTAGAGGTTCTTTTTGAGACAAAGTAGGGCTAAGTGAATCTCCCTGGAAAGAGCCTTTGGGATGAGATATGAAATGAGGAGCTTGGGGAAGGAAAAGGAGGACATGATTTATGAGACTCATTGTATTTTTTTTTAAAGACTCATTGTATTGGTAAAATTTTTTCCTGACTCTATCTCCTTTGGTATCTTTTACAGATTCTTCTAATTGATGCTTAGTCTCTTCTTTAAGAAGAGAACTAAAGTTTCATTAGAGTACCTATGTATTCTAATAAGTAGACTCCAAATAGGCTACTTCAAATAGAAGACTGTATCTCCTGCCTCTCTAGGAGCTG